ACAGCTCCATCATTCGCAGCTTTTCAAACTGAAGTATGAAAAACCAACAAAGATAGGTTTTCTGTGCCGAATAGTTGTTTTCAGCATTTCAACCTTACACGAGTCTTTCTCCACTGTATTCAGTCTTCTGATTAGTTATTCCTTGGTTACATTTTGAGATTTTTGTCGTGACAAAGAGTTTTCCTGAGGAAAAGGATTTCATCTCTGTCTCTTCTAGCATCAAACACTGACTGTACAAAATTTTTGTAACATTTTTGAGAAGAGTACTGGACAAAGAGGTACTTTTTGATGCACACCATAGATAAAGCTCCAAATAAAAGTTGAACAGAGGAATTGTAAATGATCCAATTTTCAGCTTAAAACTAGATATCAGTGTTTTATGAGGATGTTTCATCATTTCGTTTTCAATTGCGAATTTTTTCATGTAGTCTCCAATGTCGTTGCTTCCAACATCAATCTTCTTGAAAATTGGAGGAGAGTTGGCGACTTTTGAATTTAGTGCATCTGAAACAACTAAATTGCACTGAACAGAGCCAAAAACAGATCCGTTTTTTATTTATGCTAAAAAGGAGTCTGTTCAGAAAAACCTTTTAAAACGAAAAGGGGTTCTGATTACATTTTTTGTCTAGTCATCGGTTTTGAAACTTTCGCACCACTCGCACCCATATTTCTTTAACTTCGTAACCTCTCTCTTTTATGCAATCCCGTCTCATATAATCCATCTTTCTCTTATTACCTCGTTTAAAACACTGATCTATTAAGGAGGAACGAGCTTCTTGACTTGAACAGAAAACGTAGTAAAATCCCTTTGCTTCAAATATGTTTTACAGTGATCACCTTAAAAGGATCATTTTTCTTCTGTTTTCCAGAAGGAAAAAAGCCCTCAAGTTTGACATTTTCCAAAAATCGTTTAATTTTCTTGTACCCAAAAAACGGGAAAATGAGTTTCCAAACGAGTTAACGTTCAGAACAAATTTAACCCAAACTCACACTTTCTATCGATACAGCCAAAGGCACTTTCTACAAAGTTCACCTGAACGCAACCTACGCCATCACTTTAAGGTTAGAAATTCAAAGTACCGAGCAAAGGGATTTTACTACGTTTTCTGTTCAAGTCAGGAACGAGCTTCTTGACTTGAACAGAAAACGTAGTAAAATCCCTTTGCTTCAAATATGTTTTACAGTGATCACCTTAAAAGGATCATTTTTCTTCTGTTTTCCAGAAGGAAAAAAGCCCTCAAGTTTGACATTTTCCAAAAATCGTTTAATTTTCTTGTACCCAAAAAACGGGAAAATGAGTTTCCAAACGAGTTAACGTTCAGAACAAATTTAACCCAAACTCACACTTTCTATCGATACAGCCAAAGGCACTTTCTACAAAGTTCACCTGAACGCAACCTACGCCATCACTTTAAGGTTATAAATTCAAAGTACCAGTCATATCATTTTTTTTTGAAATTCTCTAACCACTAGATTGCATCAAAAATTGTAAGCTTCAGGATAACCTCCGCAACTAGGACTCTGTCAGACAATTGTTTATATTTTCCCATCAATAATAAGTTCCCCGTTGAAACTTGCGACCAATATCAACGAACACGAATTAATTCAACCTGTTGACTTTTAGAATTCTTTGATGGCAAGAATTTCAACCATAAACTCTTTAAATTACTACAAAATACTCAACACGAACCAACACAATTGTCCCGGAAGAACTCAAAATTATCAGACCACTTGACTGTCTTTGGTTACTTCTACGCAATAAAAACTTAAGCAGCATAACGAAGCTTTTATTGCCTTGCCAGCCAAAATTTTTTTTTTCTTCAACTTTTTTTGCTGATATCAAATCTATGTAAGTATGAATTTCTAATTCACTATTCATTTTGAAATTATTACTCACCGTTTACCTTACAGTAAATTTTCAATAACGTATAATAAAAGTCAAAATTTAGCGGTAACTTAAAGTTCCATGTGATCAAGTTATCTAACAATGAAGTAAATTAAAAATGATTAATAACTTAAAGATAAAATCAACCTTTTTAGTTGCCCGATTTTTATACTTTTTCTCCAATTTGCCACTTTAAATCGCCCTTTTCACCTAAACTATTTAAAAATTGAGCAAAATTTGCAAAAAAATTAGAGTAAATAAATGATTTTAAATTTTCACAAGCTAACCTAATAATTTTGAACGGCTTTCACGCCTTTTAAATTTTCCTTCAAGCGAGTTGCAATGAAGAATTAAGTGTAGACATCCAACGCAGCTTTCTAACGCCACCGCACTAATCATATGTGCAGAAAAGCCGAACTATATCCAAACCAGATTAGAACTTGATAAAATATAGTGTTGAAACACAATTCGTATTTTAATTAAGACCACATGATACCTGAAAGTCAACAGTTGGCAAAGACAAACAGTTTTTGAAAAAAGTTACAACCATCGAAAAAAAAGACAAAATACCTGACACAAAAGAAATAAAACGTTATCAGCAACAAAAGACTCTACTCAAAGAGACCCTTACATTTATACTCCGACTGGCCTTACCCATCATTGAAGGACGTCCCGAGCATGCTTTTTAGCCGGTCTCACCATCTACGCTAAAAACACGCTGAGAAAATCCCACAAAATTTTTACTCGGAGTGGCTCTAGGTTGAGCAATTCTTCAGAAAACCGAAGTAACTAAAAAAACTTTTGCAAAAAAACTAACAAGATCAGAATTAAAACTGATTCTTTAAGGTTGCAGATATATAAAAAGTAGAAACTTCCTACATCAAAAGAAAAGAGCAGCAAAAGGGAGATGAAAGTTCAACGACCTTCTAACTATGGAAAAGCAAATATATTGGTTTTGCTAGCCGCACTACAGCCCTCATACGATACAGCAAAGGAGAATAGCAAAGGAGAATACAGCAAAGGTATCTATTGAAAACAAATAATGACCAACTCAATTTTGAAAACTGAAACAATCCAGCATACGTATCCTTGTCAGTTGGCACTCCAATCATAGAAATCAAACCCTTCATGAAATTGACACTTCATTAACACAAACATGCAACTGAAATACAATCGTTTCGAATTCTTAACAACCTCTCTATCTCATCACAATTACTTCACTGACACAACAAGTCTACACTTCTCTCAAAGATTTTAGAAAATACTCCATCCATCCTTCACAAGAAGAATTATGATTTTAAAAAAATTAATAAAATTAAAATTAATTAATAATGGAGTATTGGATGGTTAGAACCACTTCTAAACAAGTATTTATTTTGTATCTTAATTTTTATCACTGTGAAATATTTAGAAATGACCAGTCATGATTCATACCATAATTTATGATAAATTGTATAACTGAAACTTTTCGTAGTTTCAGCCAGAGAAATTATAATACGCATTGAAATCAGTTGCATTCTTTTCACTAGATCTATTGAGACTAGGAAACATAAGAGTAAGAGTAGAATTCGTATTAGACTAACAAGTTGCACGAATCTATCCGGCCGAAAATAAGATAGCATAACGAACAGACGTTGTAACTTATCTGAAATTACTCTATGAGAAGGCCAACCCGGAATTCAACTCAAGTGACTGACATTACAATTCTACTCGGCCTCCCCGGGTTGAACTCCATAGACCAAAAATGCTAATCATACTATTCCATAAACTAGGTCTATGAAAAATTACGAATCAAGCAATTTTCATACATTTTGCTAGAATTGTGTCATTGAATTCGGTTGTTTTGTCTTGTTTTGGCATAAAATTCGGTGTATCGTACTAAATAAGAAATTTAGTACGATTTATTTTTTTTGTGTATAAAGTAGTCCTGGATATACTAATATTGGATTTTAATTTCTTTTCTCTTCATAACTTTTGTCAAAAACGCTTAAAACTCCTCTTTGTTTAGTATGACATGTTTTTGTATGATTTGATCAATGTCTGGTAATTTAAAAATTCAAATTTTAGAAATAATCATCTTTGAAAATTTTCGCCAAAATTTAAAAGTTCGTTACTTTCGTTAGATTATTTGTGTGAGACAGAATTAAAACATTTCAGGCTGTTTCCAATGCTTTTTCGATGCGCGACGGCCAAACCTTTGGTTACTACGTTTGTGTAACCAAGGTTTATGACATTTGTGTTCGGTTACGAACACAACCAAAAAATTTTGAGAATTTAAAATGTAAAAAATCAAAACTTCTGGTTTTTGGAAAAACGCTAGTCATACAATTTCCATATATGAAAAAATACTAATCATAGACCTTTTATGCAATTTTCTGTACTTACGGAATTGCATGAAAAGTGTATGATTAGCGTTTTTCCATATATGAAAATTGTATGACTAGCATTTTTGGTCAACTCGGGTTTCAACGTTTTTTTTAAAAAACAATTAGCAGTTCTTATTTTACTTTTTTACCTAATGACTGACATTGCAATTCTACTCGGCCTCATTTTCAACGTTTTTATAAAAACAATTAACAGTTCTTATTCTTTCTTTTTTTTCACCCAAGTAGATCACACTTATTTAGATAAAGTAAGAAAAAAATGAAACTGATTTCTTATCTATTTTCTCTCTAATTTTGATGTTTTTTGAGAACTCGCACAACTCGCATAGCAACCATTTATTCATGTTGGCAAATTGATCACTTTTATTGGTCCATACTTGACCATAAAGGGATAAATGGAATGAAATTGCTAAAACTGTGCTCATAATTATAAAACCTGGCTCCAGTTTTGACATAAATGAGTATAAATGATCATAAAACGCTCAAAACCGCGGTTTTTCTAGATAAACCGTTCAAAAACCGCTCAAACCGCTCATTTTGAAGCAAGATTTTGAGCGAAATTGTCTAAAAAACCGCTCAAACCGCTAAAATCTTGCTTCGAAATAGGTGAAAAATCTCGACTCGGGGAGCACAGTAGCGTCATAATTGGTCTCTTTTTGCACTAAGTAGTAGCCTAGTACTAGTCAATGAACTCCACAATTTTTTTCCTGGAATTACTTTTTTCTCCTTAGATCGTCCCTACCCTACTAATGGAAAAGTTGAGGAGACGGTGAAGGCGTTCGAGGGATCTGATATCTGTATAGAGTGCCAGGTGGATGCCAAGCCGTCCGTCGCCAACCAAGACTTCCTCTGGACATTTGCTGGCCAGAAACTCATCAACTACCGCAACGTTACTTACGTTGACGGACAAATAACAACCAACACTCTCTATGTTAGATTACTACCAACTGTTCCTTTGATTATTTGTCAGTCTTATTTTTTATCGCACCTTTCCATTATTACCAACAGAAATCAGCTCCTAGCTCATATTCCGTTCTTAAGAAATCTAGCTATCTGGTTAGACAAAAATAATCAACAATTCTCCCATAATTTTAAATCTTGTATAAAAACTGTACGACTACCATTTTCTTCATATCATAAAATTGCATAACTATATCCTTTTTTTTTACTGTGCATATATGACCAAAATTTTGTCACCCTGCACTTAGACAGCTTCTGAGCTATCAGTTTGCAATTACGTGACTTCAAACACAACAAGACTGCTCGTATCAGGGCGAAGCCCTGAATGTTCTGACTGCCTTTTAAGGCTTATGGAGCAGTAATAACATAAATATCATTAACAAATTAAATGTTATAAAAAAATGAAAAAAAACCTTTCATAAAATTTGAAAATTTTCTATAAAAATCATCACCCCATACGCCATATAAACTATAAAAGAATAGAATTCGCTGCTTGTAACAAATCAATGATGGCAAATAAGCTTCTTTCAACCAATTTCGAACGATTTCTAAGACGGATTAAATCTCCGCCTAATCGTTAGAAGCGCAAAATATATCGCGCGTTGATACTCCCAAACTGGCCAAAATGGCAACCTTTAAACCCGATACCTATACGAAAAATTATCTGTCATGTGTCGTCAACCTTCCATTATCACGACTAATGAAAATACTAAAAAACCACCGAATTTATGTCGACAAGGTTCATTAAGTTTAAAACACTCCAGCGAATTTCGCTCCCGGCTCCAATGCTACCTTGGTAGGTTTACATAATCAAATAACACTCAGCTCTTCGAGACGTCCATTTTAGCTGGCATGTGTCGTCACAAATGGAAAAAGTTGTCCTTCGAAATTTTGTAGCATCTATCCAATGGAAAAACAACAATCTTTTTATAAAGTGACCTATTGAAAAACCAATTTCATCTGAGAGTGTTATTATCTGTTTTATGTACGGTAACGAGCAATTCTAGGCGCGTCCGAAAAATTTCAATACGTAGAGAACCCCATACTTTCCAGTATCAAGACTTAAAAAAATCTGAAAACCACCGATTTTCTGTAGACAAATTCATAAGGTTAAAATCACCTCAGCGCAATTTTGTTCCGGGTTCCAACGCTATCTAGCTAATTTTACATAAACAAAAAACTTGAGCACATCGAAACAGCTACATTGGCTGTCATGTGTCGTCAAAAATGGAAAAAATTGTTCTTCGAAAGTGTTTAGCATTTATCCAAGGGACAAACAACCATCTTTTTATAAAGTGAACTATTATAAAAAACAAATTCTTCTTAGAGTGTTATCAATTAGTGTCTAAAAGGTATCGAGCAATTCTAGGCGTGTCTGACAAATTTCCTAATTAGAGAACCCCATACGTTCCACTATCAAGACAAAAACAATCCGAAAAATACCGATTCTATATCGACAATGTTCAATAATTTTAAAACCCTCCAACGAAATTTTGCTCGCGGCTCCGACGCTACCTTGGTAGGTTTACAAAATCAAATAACACTGAGCTCTTCCAGACGCCATTTTCAGCTGTCTTTTGTCGTCAAAAGTGGAAAAAAGTGTCCTTCGAAAATGTGTAGCATCTATCCAAGGGGAAAACAACAATAATTTTATAAAGTGAACTATTATAAAACCAAAATCCTCTGAGAGTGTTGTTATCTCCTTTATGTACGCTAACGAGCAATTCTAGGCTCGTCTGACAACTTTCAACGTTTCGATAACCCCAAACGTTCCGTTATCACGACAAAACAATCCAAAAACTACCGATTTTATGTCGACAAGTTCATTAAGTTTAAAACACCCCAGCAAAGGTTTGCTCCCGGTTGAAATGCTAACTTGCTAGAATTACATAATCAAATAAATTTGAGCTCATTGATACGCCCATATTAGCTGTCATGTGTCATCAACCTTCCATAATCACGACAAATGAAAAATCTAAAAAACCACCGAATTTATGTCGACAAGGCTCATTAAGTTAAAGACACTCCAGCGAAATTTTGCTCCCGGCTCCAACGCTACCTTGATAGGTTTACATAATCAAACAACACATATTAGCTGTCAGGTGTCGTCAAAGTCAAAAATACGTCTTTCGAAAATGTTAAGCAACTATCCACGGGAAAAACAACAAATTTTGATAAAGTGATATATTATATAAAACAATTTCTTCTAAAAGTGTCATTGTCTAATTTGTGTTCGGTAACGAGCAATTCTAGCCGCGTCTGATAAGTTTCAACGTGTAGAGAACCCCATACATTCCATTATCACGACGAAATTGAACCGAAAACTACCGATTTTATATCGACAAGTTTCATTAAGTTTAAAACACTCCAGCTAAATTTTCCTCCCGGCTCTTACGCTAACTTGGTGGATTTATGTAATTAAAGAACACTGAACTCTTCCAGACGCCCATATTAGCTGTCATGTGTCGTCAAATGGAAAAAGTTGTCCTTCAAAAATGTGTAGCATCTATCCAAGGTAAAAACAACAATCTTTTTAAAAAGTGAAATATTATAAAAACCAAATTCTTGTGAGAGTTTATTATTCAGTTTATGTACGGTAACGAACAATTCTAGCCGCGTCTGATAAGTTTCAACGTGTAGAGAACCCAATTCGTTCCATTATCACGACGAAAGCAATCCAAAAACAACCGATTTTTATATCGACAAGTTTCAGTACGTTTAAAACACTCCAGCAAAATTTTGCTCGCGGCCTCAACGCTAGCTTGGTAGGTTTACAATATCGATTAACATTGAGCTCTTCCAGACGTCCATATTCGTTGTCATGTGTCGTCAAAAACGAAAAAATTTGTCCTTCGAAAATGTGTAGCATCATTCCAAGGGAAAAACAACAATCTTTTTAAAAAGTGAACTATTATAAAAACCAAATTCTTGTGAGAGTGTTCTTATCTAGTTTATGTACGGTAACGAGCAATTCTAGCCGCGTCTGATAAGTTTCAACGTGTAGAGAACCCCATTCGTTCCATTATCACGACGAAAACAATCCGAAAACTACCGATTTTATATCGACAAGTTTCAGTACGTTTAAAACACTCCAGCAAAAATTTGCTTGCGGCTTCAACGCTAGCTTGGTAGGTTTACAATATCGATTAACATTGAGCTTTTCCAGACGTCCATATTAGTTGTCATGTGTCGTCAAAAAGGAAAAAATTTGTCCATCGAAGATGTGTAGCAACTATCCAAGGGAAAAACAACGATCTTTTTAAAAAAACCTTGTCTAGAGTGTTATCAACTAGTGTCTAAACGGTAACGAGCAATTCGAGGCAAGTCTGATGAGTATCAACGTGTAGAGAACCACATACATCCCATTATCACGAAGAAAACAATCCGAAAACTACCAATTTTTCATCAACAAAGTTCATTAAATTCAAAACACTCCATCAAAAATTTGCTTGCGGCTCCAACGCTAACTTGGTAGGTTTACATTATCAAACAACACTGAGCTCTTCCAGACGCCCATAATAATTGTCTTGTGTCGTCAAAAATTAAAAAGGTTGTCCTTTGAAAATGTGTAGCATCTATCCAAGGGAAAAACAACAATCTTTTTAAAAAGTGAACTATTATAAAAACCAAATTTTTGTGAGAGTGTTATTATCTAGTTTATATACGGCAACGAGCAATTCTAGCCGCGTCTGATAAGTTTCAACGTGTAGAGAACCCTATTCGTTCCATTATCACGACGAAAACAATCCGAAAACTACCAATTTTTTATCAACAAAGTTCATTAAATTCAAAACACTCCATCAAAAATTTGCTCGCGGCTCCAACGCTAACTTGGTAGGTTTACATTATCAAACAACACTGAGCTCTTTCAGACGCCCATAATATATGTCTTGTGTCGTCAAAAAAGGAAAAAATTGTCCATCGAAAATGTGTAGCATCTATCCAAGGGAAAAACAACAATCTTTTAAAAAAGTGAACTATTATCAAAACCAAATTCTTGTGAGAGTGTTATTATCTAGTTTATGTACGGTAACGAGCAATTTTAGCCGCGTCTGATAAGTTTCAACGTGTAGAGAACCCTATTCCTTCCATTACCACGACGAGAACAATCTGAAAACTACCGATTTGATACTGACAATCTTCAGTAAGTTTCAAACACTTCAGCAAAATTTTGCTCGCGGCTTCAACGCTAGCTTGGTAGGTTTACATTATCAAATAACACTGAGCTCTTCCAGACGCCCATAATAATTGTCTTGTGTCGTCAAAAATTAAAAAGGTTGTCCTATGAAAATGTGTAGCATCTATCCAAGGGAAAAACAACAATCTTTTTAAAAAGTGAACTATTATAAAAACCAAATTCTTTTGAGAGTGTTATTATTTAGTTTATGTACGGCAACGAGCAATTCTTGCCGCGTCTGATAAGTTTCAACGTGTAGAGAACGCCTTTCGTTCCATTATCACGACGAAAACAATCCAAAGACTACCGATTTTATATCGTTTAATACACTCCAGCTAAATTTTGCTCGCGGTTTCAACAGAGACGCCCATATTAGTTGTCATGTGTCGTCAAAAATGAAAAAAATTGTCCTTAGAAAATGTGTAGCATCTATCCGAGGGAAAAACAACAATCTTTTCAAAAAGTGATTTATTATAAAAACCATATTTTTGTGAGAGTGTTATTATCTAGTTTATGTACGGTAACGAGCAATTCTAGCCGCGTCTGATAAGTTTCAATTGGTAGAGAACCCCATTTGTTCCATTATCACGTCGAAAACAATCCGAAAACTACCGATTCTATGTCGACAAGTTTCATTAAGTTTAAAATACTCCAGCTAAATTTTCCTCCCGGCTCCAACGCTAACTTGGTGGATTTATGTAATTAAAATACACTGAACTCTTCCAGACGCCCATATTAGCTGTCATGTGTCGTCAAATGAAAAAAGTTGTCCTTCGAAAATGTGTAGCATCTAC